CCATCTTTGGGCGATGACATCAGCATGAGGCATGTGGGGGACACAGTGAATTAGGTGGTTTCACATCGCCTTTAAGAACACGGCTCAAGTCAGATGCCTAGGCCTGACGCTCTCACGGACAGCTGAGGGACATAATTCAAGTGATGCTGCCTCCCAGACTCGAAATGAGGACAGCGTTTCCCTCTGGCGGTGGGAGAACCTCAGAAGCGGGGGCGGCGAGACGTGCACAACACTCGGAACAGTGCCTGGCTTGGACAACCGGCCAGCAGCGCCCTCGGCTCCCTCAGCAGGGGCCAGCTGCATCCCAGGGTCCTGTGCGAGTCCCAAGACACAGGACAGAGGCCATCAGTTCTATAGCCCAACACCTTCGCGACCCAGCTTGACCGTTACAGATGTTTTCTGAATGGCTGACCAACTGAATCGGTCCTGGAGAATGTGCCTGACTTCTCAGATCCAGTATTAGTTTGGAAATAGAAGCCATCTGAGTATGTTCCCAAGCTCGAGCTGGGTTGGCAAGGATTGGGTGTGATTATAAAAAGCAAGTGAGAAGAGAATGTTACTGCAAGGAAAATTGAATCCATGTGTTTTAAATAACTTCATTCCAATATGTTAAAATATTATAGTTTTTGGCAATTATTAAATATGAGAACAAATGCAATTATTTTAAATTGAAATTCTATTTATAAGTTTAAAATTGCCACAACTGTATCCTGAGACCTAAATCCCCTTTGGTTATGAACTTACCTGTGCAACAAATTTCAGGTCTTTTTTTTTTAATGATTCCTATTTAAAACTGACATTTAGATGTAATGCTGACTCCATAGGTATCTAAGCAGAACTCCAGACTATGCAGCAGGCTGTTCAAACATTACCATGGAAATATTCTTAAATACGTTCTGACTCAGAACAGAAACCTATGCTTTAGAATCTCTCTGGAGCTTTGTCATTACTGAAGACACCCCAGTTCTCTCCCATAAACCCCACTGGGTAACTCACGTAGCACCCATCAAGGAATGTCAAAACCCTGGGTTCTTTTGTCTGGCTTCTCGCCCTGGTTTATAGGCTGGACGTGGGAAGGCACATTTAGGCACTAACTTCTTCCGTAAAATCTTTTATAGTCTCTGGAACAGCCACCTGAACTTGGGGTCACTTTCTATAAGACAGTCAAAAAGAAATCTAGCTGGTACCAATGAGACAGACTATAGAAGCATATACAAATCCTATTACCCCAACAGTGTAGCAACTTAATTCTCATAAAAGTATTTCCAAGCCCCTTTTAATGGCTCACGACAGAATGTGATTTTTGCAACTCCAAGTTACTTAATGCAGTCACGATGGTTTTTCCAATTCTTATTCTTAATCTAGAAAGTAAATAAGACCTCCACACGGCCTCCTGTCTCTAATCCTATACTTTAAAAATAACAGTATTAGCAGAAACTTAACCTTCTGTTTTGCACATAACTCACTATTTACTAAGGTGGGAAGGTAAGCCCAGATCAACTATTTTGGGGCTAATGCCCAAAAGGTCAAAGTTCTCAAGTGACACCTGAGGACACTTCCCATGATCCCAGGCCTCTTTGGAACCATTTCGAAAACCATAGGACATAATTATATAAGGAGCTTGATTTCCATTAAAGAGGTTTTTGTTTTCTAATCGGAAAGCATGAAAGGCCTGTGAGGGGCGGAAGCACACTCCCCACTAAGAGTGAGACTGACTGTGCCCAGGAGCTGCTGCCCCTGATCATCCCAGGAGGGATTCCTTACCCACGGAGTGACGGCGATGGCTCTGCTTGCTCACTATGGCAAGAAAAGCTAGCAAAGAGGCTTTTACATTAAAAGGAAACGAAGCTCAGGTTCACTATGGCAAGAGAAGCTAGCAGAGAAGAGGCTTTTACATTAAAAGGAAACGAAGCTCAGGAGGGGATAGATGGCACTTCAAACCCCAGCTTGTCACCTGAGCACTGTGTGACTTTTGAACGCCTCACGAGTCCATCTGTCCACCTGTAAATGATGCCAACCTCATGGCATTAGTGACGAGAGTCAAGTTTGCAAAATGCTTAGCACGGTACCTTGCACACGGAAAAGCACTCAGGGAGCTACGCTGAATTTCCCTGAGAGCTCATCAGATGGTTTCCCACACCACCCGGAAAGGAAGCAGCACAAGGGCGCAGCACTGAAGTCCGCCACGGCGGCTGGAGGTGAGGAGGGGGCTGGGATGGTGGCCCCGCGGCCCCCAACGGGGAGGCCGGGGCGCAGAGCCTGAACCCGTCACCCACTGCGCAGTCTGCTTTCCCCTACACTGCACCCACTCAAACCTCCTTCTGTCCCAACTGTTTTCCTGACACTGATATTTCGTCTAGAATTTTAACAGTGACGTGAATGTCGTCAGCCCCACCAATCTGGATCTAGTTTCTTTGTTCGCTTTAAAATCCCACACACTGTGTAAGTTTAAGGCCCTGGAGCATCTCATAGGCCAAGTCCCAGGAAAAGGTCAGGGCACCAGGACAGAGGGGCCCTGGCCTTGGAAGAAACACGTTGGGAAAGAAACTGCACAAGCAGCCGGCTGTTCCTTTTCCTCGAGTCTCGAGGCCTCACCTCTTCCTTCTGTCACGTACACTAATACTTCTCCATAGCCCAGGGCTCAGGACTGGTGGCTTCAGAACAGCCCTTTGCCCCCCAGTCCCCACAGGAGCCCCAGAGCCTTCGGAAAAACAAGGACGAGAGTGCCTGTAAGGATTAAATGGGAGGCACCGAGGGGCTCAAATCAGAACCCACTCGCACTTTAGCAATTAAGATCTATACGCATAATTTTTCCCACGAAAAATCAGAAATTCTTCAGTGTGCATTGAAATTCCCCGTGAACTTTAAACTACAGACTACGCAGGCCCCACCCCCGAACAAGCCTTTTATTTAAAAGGCTGTCTGCAGGACCTTGGAGCTGGCAGCCTAACCTCTTCTCCGGGTTAAGTCTGAGAACCACTGAGCGAGGAGGCAGGGCATGGCTCTCATCTTCTGCCAGCCAGTGCCTGGCGTCCAGCGACAGTGCCATCACTGACAGGTCAGCTCAAGCTCTGCCACCTTTCCCAAGTCCTTCGGAACGGCTTGTCCACTTTCCACTCTTGAGAACATCTTCAGTAGCGCGTTACCAGGACATCAGTCGAGAGACCAGACCCCAAAGCGACAGCCGCAGGGTTGGTGCCATCAGGAAGGAGAGAGGCCATGGGCTGCTGGGCCGCCTAACGCACGACAGCCTGGCCTCTGCAGTACTTCAGATGCAGATGTGGTCGTCATGTTCAAGGTAACCTTTTTCTCACCCACCTGCACGCTAGTCCACTTGCAAAGTAAATCGCCCTTTATGAGTCTTCTTACGGACTTAGGTCAATCTATTCAAAGCGAGGTTTGATATCAAATCAAAATCCACACAATACATAAAATGCATTAAATAAGCTATAATTTTAGTAGTCACTTTAACACAAGTATTAAAAGTCAGCAGTCGACTAGTCACACTCAAATATTAAGCTAGAAGCATCTTCCTGACCACCTAGCCTTCGGAGGGATTGTGACAAAGTAGGTTTTGAATAGGAAGTACAAAAAAAGGAGAAAAGCGACCATGCAAATTAAGGTTCTGTAAGGGTTGGGATTTCTGTCCACTGATGCAGCCTAAGCACCTAGAAGACATCCTAGGACACAGCAGGTACTCGATAAATTAATGTGATTCTGTAAAACGGATTGCTAGAAAAAGTATTTGTAACAACCAAATTAAAATAGCCAGCCTAGAGCGAAGTTCATGATCAGACAGATGTTCACGAACTGTGACAGATGCTTCAGAAGAGCAGCAGGGACATCAGGCTTAAGTTATTCGTTTTAAAATTCTTTACGATGTTTAACTCCATAAAGCACATAAAAGCAACCAAAATGGGGCAGCTCGTTCCTGGCAAGATGGCAGTTACGTGACTTCTCGGGGACTCCTCCGCCGAGTAAATACCTGAGTGCTGCCACGTTCAGGTTCTGCTGTAAGAACCAGGGACACGAGACAGGCCTTGCCCTGGCTCCTTCGGTCCCATGAGAAAATGTCAGCATCCATGACCAAAAGGAGACCTCCTTCTAGAAGGCAAATGCAGACACCATCTGGTCCATTCCCACTTGCGGCAGACTGGGAACTAAGATCCAGAAAGCAAAATAACTTGCCCAAGGCTAGGCCACCGAAGGCGGGGACATAGAGGGCCGAAGGCACTCGTTAGCCGCCTGTTCACTGCCGGCGCGAAGGGAAGGATGAAGGCGAGCAGACGGGCCAAGATGGAGCCCCACGTCTTCCCGGAGCAGCGCCCTCCCCCATGCACCCCGGCGCTGTGCACGTTCAGCGCTCTTCAGTAGAGCATTTAAAACGAGTGGTACCAAAAGCCACCTCCTAGCTCCACTTGACCTCACAGCCTCCTCTTCCTCCCTCGGACCCCTCCTCCTCCCTGCTGGGTGTTTCCACATGGGAATATTATCCTAAGCCAGAAATGAGGGCATCTGGCCAGGAGAGGTGGATCAGAGGAATGACGCTGATACGAAGAATGAGAACGACACGTGCCCTCGCGCTGGACTTTACAAAACTGCTGACATCCAACCATTTTTAACCTCAAGAAAAAAGAGCAACCCCATATAAACGTAATACAGATGTTCCAACTTGTTTCATTCTTCGGGGACCCTTAACAATAAAAATGCCCAAAGTGGAGTCAATCGTTAGCAAGCACAGAGGAAGCGGAGACCTCACGTACGAAACTTTAATTCGCTCTTGAGGTGCTGCTTATAGCACGTCTGCCCACGTCTCCTCTAAATGGTAGAAGAGCAATACTGAACTCGCAAATGTTCGGTTAATGCCATACAGAAACCAGTGAAAAAAGGTCGTCTGCGAGGAGCAGACACTGCGCATCAGGTGTCCTGGCTGGGCCCTTCCTACATGCACCTTCGTTTTTTGCCCTTAACTCCTCCCAATGACATACAAAATGCAGTCCTTTCACGAGATTTTACAAAGTTTTTATTGGTTACAATGATATAAAACGGTATCATTAGAATTCCCCCTAGTTATTAAGTGCTTGCTTGCTAGCAACAGCATAAAAAAAACTTTTGTGTATCTGACAAGCTCAAATGATTTATTTCATGCTGAAAGGGGAGAAATAGCAAATAGCACTCTTAACTTGTCTATCTACAATTAACCTCTTTCTCTCTTAAAAGGCTACATTGGTTAAAATCAACAGGACAACCCCTTTTGTATGTCAAATTGTAAATTTTAATGTTTTTCATTAGAATAGTCTTTTATCATCACTCTCCAACAGAAACAATAAAATAACTAACAGCAAACTTCAATACAAGAACACTCTCCAGATTAACAACTCAAACAAAAATGTAAAATGTGAATCACATAATACAATTGAAGCGTCCAAAACAATTTAAATAATTTTAAATATTTTATTTTTAAACTGCTACAAATGCTTTATACAATATTTCAACATAAAAGTCCCCAGAACAGAAATGTAACAAAATGGGAATGATAGTGAAAGGGTTAAAGTGGCACAAATTCACCAAACAAGTATTAAACTACAAATTTTAAGAGGTAGATTACTTTTAAAGTTGAGAACAAAAAAAAAAAAACATGAATAAAACCTAGCCATTTTCCACCAACTCAGTCATTAATTACGGGGAACGCATATAATGCATGGAGAAACGATACACTCAGGAAGAGGCCAATCTGTAGTTTTTAAATCTCTATTAGAGACCGAAGTGTAAAACCTGGTACGTAAATTCAGTTATACTCACATGTAGACATACATCTATACAGGCCTGTGATGCATCCTGGGCATTGATATATTGCTACATAGTCTCTGATAATATAATAGTTATAAATTAGTGCCAGATAATTTTTTGAGAGGATGTCCACTCGGATATATAAACACGACACTGGAAGAGGCATAAAAAAGGAGTCCATATCCAATCTGGTTTCCTCTCCATTATGCTGGCAATCTGCTTGTGATAAAAAAGCAGGCTGAGAGAGAAGCTAAATGCCTCTCTGTCTATAATTCATTTAAAAGAAAGGCATCAAGAGCTGGTGTGTGACCAAAACATCTTAAAACGAGTGCATTAGAATCTGTCATTCCCTGAAATCTACAAACGACTACTGACAAGACAGAGAACTTGCTTGGCAAGGTTACGTTCAAATCATTCCTTCCTCTGCTATGTGCCAAAAACCAGGGCCACACTCAGATCTGAGTTCTCAGTCCCGTGGCGACGAGCCAGTTCATCTAGCCCGTCCTACGGCGCCCTCTTGCATTTCAATCACCCAGGAGCCCAGCACACGTGTCGGGCACCGGCGAAGCAGCGGCTGCCTTACTCTAACCAGAGCGACAAGAGGCTGCCGGCAGTCAGCTGTGTTAGGGTTTGAGTCAGCTTCAACTGGTCTTGCAAGCTTGGTAGATTTCGTGTCCTTTGTCGTAGTGCTTATCCTAAGTGGAGCATGCATTACCTTTATTTAGGCAATTAAGGTTTGTTTTGTTTGGGGGGCTTTTCTACAGGAAGTTCCTAGAAAATAAGAAAACTGAAGATAAATGACAACGTAACATAACCTTATATGAATTGACCACGTTAAAGAAAAGGTGAGCAGACCACATGACAAATGTTATTAAGACAGCAACAAAATGACTCTGAAGATACACAGGAACACGGGTGTCTCATTCAAAAGCCACACGCCTGGAAGGCCACGGCCCTGTCTGGAGTGGTGTGGTAGAGATGGACAGTGAGAAACTGACGTCTGTCATTTTATTTTTTTAATCAATTCATGGTGAATGGGAAAACCTGGTCTAGAATTTCATTTTGCTTTTCCATCTTTAGGTGTTTCTGACTGGCTGCAAGGGGAACACGGTATTAAGAGTTGCTCTAAAAGGAACATTAGAGAATGTAAAAACATCTTGCGATTTACAAAACCAAAGATGGGCAAGAGGGGGTGGGGACGTCTCTCTTTCCCCGTCTTTTCGTCTTACAGCCCACTGAAATGAGGCCTCAGCGACAACAGATCTGAATGCACTCGGACGGGGGACACGGCAGCAAGGTCTGTAGCCGGAGACGGAAGTCGCGTGGTAGGCCTGGCATTCTTTGCTGCTTTATCCTGAGAAAAGGACTTGGAGCACACGTCTTTTTGACACTGTGATCGGCACAATGGCTTGTGCTCCAACTGGCAAATTCCGCTGAGCCCTCTGCGTTCAATGGAAAACTCTGAAACGCTTAACTTTACTCACACGGCTGACTGCAAGCATATACCTGAAACAGAACCCCAAACTAGCCTCCCATGTCAAGTGCCTGAGTGCTGGGAACTAGCTCATAATCACAGGTTGTTACAATGAAGGACAGAGGAAAAAGGTGTACAGCCAGACCTGTGCCAAGTCCTTGAATACACGATGGAAAAAGTAAAGCAAAGTCACTGAACACAGAGAGAAAGTGAGTGTTTCTACACGTGAGTCATGAAATCATCCCTGAATAAAATGGCAAGGAGAAATATATTGAAAGGGAAGAAGACGGTGGTTAAAACAACTCCTTACCACTGTAACGCGACAGCGTGTACCGGGGATGAGGCCCGATCTCTAGGCACCCTCGTGTCCCCAGGCCTGAGCTCAGGAACCCTGATTTCACACCTAACGCACTGCGAGGCAGGTGCCAAGACCACCCCAACTCCCTGAGGAAATGCCCACTCTCGTGTCCAGATAATCCAGGTATGATGTCCCGTTAAACATTTATTTTTGATTCCCCAAAAAACTTCACAAATTTATTACGGTCACTTGTAAACGGCCCCCTGTGTTAAGACACACATCCTTCTGAGGTGTGCACAGCACAGTCCAGTGACACGCAGAGGGGCAGCCACTGCGGATGCCTGCGCCACCACCTCCCAGGCAGAACAGTACTGTTTTCTTATCTGATTCTTCTGTGTTAGCTTTCAGGCCAAATTTCATTCCAGCAACGGAACCCTCAGTTAACTATCAAACAAAGCAAAAGAATTAAGATGAACTGGAGCAAAAAACACAATTTTATTAGGCGCTTTGGACCTTTGAGATCTAACGGGTTCTTGAAAAAGCACCACATGAGGGAGAGGCTTCCTGAGTGAACTTCATAAATTTATAGGTACTCAGAGAACTTTTCTTTATAGTATCTTAATTTTCCACATAAACTTTAACCTTAAACTGTATAAATGGGATATACTAGGAAATGAGGGATTCTTTCAAATACTGGAGACTAAAGGGGATACACACAATACATTCTACAGTACCGACGACCTGGGGGATGTTTTCCAGTACAGTCTGTGAAAATGACGGCATATTCTGATTCTTTAACTTTGAAAAGGACTGTTCCAGGACATCCCATTGTTGTGGAACTTCAGAACACAGGCAGAGTGACAAACAGGTATGCAGGTAAACTGCCACAAGCAGGCTTATTTTCCCCAGGGCTGACCCCGAGGTGCTGTGCACACATATGCCGTGCCCACAGAACAGATGCTGGATGAGATCTATAGTAACTGAGGGTTTAGTACATTTCTGAAGTAGCTTTTTAAAAATGTGACCCTTCATTCCAACAGTAAATCATTCCCATCAGCCTTGCCTAACGAGTCTTCTCTCCGTCTTTCTTTAGCCATGACTTAAGGCACCCAGTATTGCAGTGGTAACAGCACTTTTTGGGTCCTCACGACCACCCCCCACCCCCATTCCCAGTTAATGCTAATCCTGTTTGCCTGAAACACCAAAGAATTTTCAGACAATAATGGTTATCATAGCCAAGAAAGCCCAGAGTCAGGCAGCTCACTATCTGATGATGAGATTTCACAAGACTGACCTGTAGGCACTATTTGGGAAACAGCAGGCATTCCAAGAATGTACATCAACTCAGGTTAAGCAACTAAGAAAGTTTAAGAAGTCAATGTAACAAATGTAACTACTGCCCCCACGTTTTTATGCGTCACAGAGAACAGTTCTTAACACAGGGAGAACAGAATAAAACCGCAGAATCGCCTCAAATCTAAGATGAGTTCTTATATCGTGACTGGGGAAACAAAAGCTCTGACAAGCCAGGCAGATGTTTTGACACGTGCCTGAAGGGTCTGGCCTCGCTGCGGTCCTAAGCTCTCGCCTAGCTTCTTCTCTTTTGAGATCTGGCCTGTTTTTCACCCGAAGCCTGGAGACAGGAGGGAGTGGGGGACGTAAGGCATTTTGAACTGAACATGGTGTGTTTTGTTTTAACCAGTGACGTGGGTTTTTAAAATGAAAACAATAGAAAAAGACATGAGCAACAGAAGCATTCTCAATTACTATAACTACACGAGTCGCAAAAACATTAAACAAGATTGCAAGGTGGCTTTAATGAACTCAGTGATTCATTTTAACAGAAGAAATGCTCTATGATCCAGAGGTAATACAAGTAACACTGAGATATTACTCAAGATATGAAGGACGTTTAAGGGAATTTCATCTTTCCGGAACAGGGTACTTTTGAGAGCTTTTCATGGTTTCAGATTCAATTCACAACTGGCCCTAAGAGAAACGGCACACTTTGTCAGGCCTAAGTGAGACAAAGAACTACGTAAGCATCCATCTCTGCAGCAGCCAGAGCAGTGACCCTTCTTCGCACGCGTACAACTTAAGCAACAGCCATTTCCTTTAAATGCTTGTGTCAGAATTATACAAGAAAATAAAAAAAAGCCATTGGGCAAATATATTGCTTTCTTCCAACCATCTTCCCTTCCCCGCCCCCCTTCTCGTGAGCTCCGGATTCCTCTGGCCCTGGGAGACACGGCTTACCTGACGTCCTTCAGCTCCTGCTTGCCACTGCTGTCCTCCCTCCTGTTCTCACTCGGGTCAGCAGCAGCTGCCAGCTGGAGGCTTCGGGTGATCGGCCCCCCACTCCGCTCTCTAGATTTTACACTGAACCGGTCTGTTCTTTTCTTACTGGCCAGAGCGGACTTGCTTTGTAAGACAGCTTTGCTTTTCTGTACCCTCACGTGCAGGCTCCGGTTCGTCTTGCTCGAGAGCTGAGCAGAATGATTCTTGGCCACAGCTTTGGGTTTTTTCCCCTCGACCTGAGTTATTCTGGCCATCCTTATCGGGCTCGAGTTCCTTAAAGAGGAGCCTGGTTTTTTGGACTTAACGGAAGCTGCAAACTTGACATTCTGCTTGGACCTGAAGGATGAGGAGGGCAGTGGGACCTGCGTGGGGCCCGAGCTGCGAGCTCTGGTCTTGCCCAGAGGAGCCTGCATGCTTTGCATTTTAATCTCGGCATCCGCGGTCCGTCTGCGGTGGCTGCTGTTTCTGTCACTACCTGCAGGTGATGAGTGTCCACCTTTCTTGGATGAGTGGGAAACTTTTTTTTTGGAAGGAGAAAGCGGTTTTTTGGGACAGCTGAAAGCGGCGTGTTTATTCAGGCTTCCAATGTACGTGAACTCTCTACTGCAGTACGGGCAGATGTGCGAGGGCTCTGAAGCGTTTTTTAAGCCGGCCTTCTGCTTTGCAGACCTGTTTTTCTGAAGGATTGCTCTCTGGACAAGCTGATTTTTTTTCTTCAAAGCATTTAATTTGAGCTTATTCGGTGACATTTTGCTGAGCTCAACGCTGAAGTTCAGTCTTTTGGGCTGACCCATTCGTCTGAAGGCATTTTTCCCAGAGTTATCTAAAACCACCACGCCATTTTTGGGTTGCACAGTTTGTTTCAACGGTACTGGATTTTTCTTAGGAGTATACCTCTTCTTGTCACTAGCAGAAGCGCATGCCAGGATGTGTTTGTGTAACTCAGGCATGTTGTCGACACCTTTTCCACACTTTGTGCAGCGAATGGCAGTGGTAAAAGTCTGTGGAATATTGTGTGTTGTGAAATTTGTGGCCGTCGCTCCGATACCCATGGGGTTTCGGTGATGGTACTGAAATGGAGGTGGCTTAAAGCTTGGATAATGTTGATTGAGACCTAGTCGAACATCTGGATCTTTCGTCTTTATTCCAGAAGCCATTATCTTTATGGTTGTGTAAAGCTCTTCGGAGGAATCATTTAACTCCTCTTCCTCTTTTGACGTTTCTAAAGGATCTTCTGGCAAACTCTGCATGTGCTCCGCGTGGGCCTTGCTGGGGTCTGTGAAGTTCTGCGGCCTCAGGGTGCCGCTTTCAAACTCGTGGTGTGTGCACACCTTATCTGGGTGGAGATCTCGCTGGTGTTGCTGCAAATTGCACAAAAAAGCAAACTCTTTTTTACAAACTGAACACACAAAGATATTCCCAACTCCGTGAAGCAAAAAGCGGTGTTCTGACAAATCAGTTTTAGCCTTAAAAAGCTGCACGCAAAATTCACATTTGAAGGGCCATTCTTCAGCATGAATAGATAAATGTTTGGTTAGATCTTTAATGGAAAGAAAAGGTGATTCACAGACATTGCAGACAAAGTTTTTGTTGAATGTTTCCTGAACGACATCCTGTTCAACTGCGGACTGGGACTCTTCCTTGGGTTTCAGATCGTCTTTCTCTAACTCCTCCTGTTTGAAAGATATCATGGGGAGAGAAGCTTCCAGGTTATCCCCAGAGGAAACGACGGACGATACTGCCGAGAGAGGAGGTGGCGAAGGGGAAGAGGAGGAAGACGACGAAGAGAACGAAGACGAAGACGAGGAGGAGGCGGACGATGAAGACAGCGTGGGAGGTCCCGGTGAGGCAGCAGACACAAGAGGCTCCACGGGAGGAATGGGAGATGGCGAGGGAGACACTGTGGGGGAAAGAACTGGAAGTGGGGACTGGGCAGCAGCATTCGAGAGTGGGGAGGGACACGGACGGGGAGACGCCCCGGAAGAGGAGGGTGGAAGATGTATGGTAGGCAGGAGTGGAGGGGGCGGAGTGGCGACAGTTAACACAGGGGGACAGGGCGGAGGGGACGACGGGTGTGTTGGGATCAAGAGTGGAGGCAGCTGCCGCGAAGAAAGGGAGGGCGTCTGGAGGGCAGGAGAGGAAGGAGACGCATCAGGTGGGGACTCCACAGCAGGGGCAGGTAAACCAGAGTCCGGACCAAGGGCAGCGTCTGGCTGGGGATGGAGGGCTTTACAAGGACTCGGGCTCCTGGCCCCGGCCACAGCCTGCTCTCCGGGCGCGTCGAGGCCGTTATATTCATTGAGGAGAACCTTCTGCAGCATGCAGGTGGTCGGCTTCTTTTTCTTCACGGCACCGTAGGCTGGCTGCGCCAAGTTCCCGTCTTTGAATTCCTTGCCTTCGGAGTCACTGCCGGACTTCTTATGCACGCTGAGGTCTAACACAGATTCCCACTGGGCCGGAGCCTTGCCTGTACCCTCAGCCTTCTGTTTGACACCGCTGGACAAATCCAGTGGCTGCTGGTTGCACACATTGCTAAAAGTGGAACTGGCGACCCAATCTTTAGACACCTTGTATTCATCAAAGCATGGCGGGCTCGCTGTTTCTCTCTCATCCCTCCCAGACAAACTCCACGCAGGAGAGTTGCTATGACTTTCTAATTTGGGCTTTTTGGAACTTAGGACTGCCTCGGTCCACACAGCTTTACCGTCACTTTGCTTTCCAAAGTCTCGAAGGGCAGGACTGTGCTGTGGAGAGCTGGGAGGGGAGCTGGTCCGCCGCTTGAACCTGCTGGAGGTCACGGGCAGCATGGACGCGGGCGCGGACACGCACACAGGCCCCAACTTGGGGATCTCAGTTGTCAGAATCCCCGCAGGAGGAGTCAGTTTGTCCTGCGTCTGAAGGAGCTGTTTGAGCTTCGGTGACAGGTACACACTTTTCTCTTTGTGGAAGGACACCGCCTCCGTGGCTGCTATGCTGAGAGGCAGGCTTAGGGAACACGAGGGCGCCGCGGGGTCAGACTCTGCCTCGGCTTTGATTTTGGGTAACACGGGAGGACTAGTTGTTCTCCGTTTTTTGGACTCACTGTTTGTGCTGCTGGAAGGTTCTTTAGGAAGATCATCTGTGACGGGGACCTGTGTGGTCTTTATATTTTGAGTAATTTCCACTGTAACGGGAGTTAGCAGACAATTTATACCATACAAGTCTGCCGAACTGGATTCCATCTCAATCACGTCACAGTTACTAGTGCTGCTGCTGGTCTGAATTTTACCATCGATATAGTAATTTAAGTTTTCAGAGATATTGCTAGAAATATCCATGATGTACACGTCATCTGCCTCGCCTTCCTCCTCTGGTTCTGTGCTTGGGACGTAGACGCTCTGGGCCGGACGGCTCTGCTCCGCGGGAGGCTGTGGCCCCTCCAGTCCCCCCTTCCGTCGCACCCCCTTGGGAATCAGATGACGTTCGTGAACTCTACGCTGATGCCGCCTCATGTTCGTGTGGGTTCCAAAAACCTTTTTACAGTATTTGCACGGATGAAGCTCTTTAACCTCTCCATTCTCTTCCACAACAGAAGAACTTACTGTTTCTTGGGAAGCCTTCTCTGAATTCAGGACCAGACAGTCTTGCCCAAGAAAGGGAGGATTCAAGTCATCTTTTGGAGCAACGCTGTCTGCAGGGCCTCTGCCGTCAGCTGGGTCTTCTGATGGCTGCAGTGCCAGGCTGGGTTTTCGCTTTAACCCTGCCTCGTGGCGACGCTCGTGCCTCCTCCTGTTTATCTGTGTGCCAAAGGCCTTCCCACAGTACTTACATTTGAAAGCGTGGTTGACTGTGGATATGTGGATATGCATGTGACGCTCAAGCCCCTGCTTGGTTGTAAACTTCCTTTCACAATGCTGACATGGAAACATAAATGTTTCAAATACATCGCCATTGGCCTCTTCTTTAGTTTTGAGGATTTTGATAACAGGTATTACCTCTGGAGAGTCTTCAAGAGTTTCTTTTGCAGTATTTTTTGGTTCTTCTAACAAGTCATCTAGCTTCTCATCACACCGCATTTCTGGCTCTGTCACAGAACCTTCATTGGGCAGGTCGGTTTCTTCTTCACCCTCTTCTTCCAACTCCTCCTCCTCCTCATCTTCCTCTTCCTCCTCCTCCTCCTCCTCCAAGTCATTGGCCTCACACTTGGCTGCTTCTAGCTTCTCGTCTGGTTCTGTCTGTGGCTCGCAGGCAGGGGGAGGGATTACTAGCTCTGGAAGAACACCCGGACTGACCACCTCCTGAAGAGCGGCTGTCTGCTCAGCTGCCGAAGCTGAAGCCTTCTCGTCCTCTTCTTTGGAACCTAGAAAGCACAGGCAAGCAGAAGCATGGAGGTGAGGGCAAACACTAGCCACTTTATGATCGATTCTTATTTTTCAAGTTATTTCTCTTATCCCCTAAAATGTGTAAAGGAGACAATGATTAATAACAGCTCCATACTCTCATTTATAAAGCTGAATTGGAGTTGAATCTATTTCTTTCATTCGTTCATTCACAAGTATTTACAGAGTGCCTGCTGTGTACCAGGCAACACGCTGGGCAGTGAGGAGACGTGTGAACAGACCACATGGAGCTCCAATTCTTTTCTGTGTTTAGTCACATGTATATAAACGCATTTTTAACTAAAAAATACAATTACTACAGAAATTGTTGTGCTTAATATCTGTGTTGGAGCCGCCGATACAGAATTTCTGGAGCCTAGTTGTCAATTCTGATTTCTCATGATTCTCTCCCTCCTTCCTGATTAAAACTATATATTTAGAAGGTAGAACACTTTCCAGAATCACGTGATCAAAATTTGTTCAAGTAAAAGAAATTTCAGAGATTATCGCTTCCAAGCCTGATCGAACTACTGAGAGCTCAGGAGTACCTCAAGGAGGAATAGGAATCTGAAGTCACTTCTGAGTCCTGAGGCCCAGAAGAAACCCAGCCTAGGTCCACCTGAGGCATACAGTGGACAGGGAAGGTCTCGCCAGCAGGGTGACAACTGAGCAGAGACCTAAAGAAAGTGAGTCACACAAATATCTGGGGGAGGGAAGCCCTCCAGACAGAGGAAACAGCAGATATATAAGCTCTGAGTCAAGAACTTGCTAGATGTGTTCAAGGAATGGCGAAGAAGTTGGAAAGGCTATGGGTGGGGGAGGGACTGGAGGGAGGGTGGAGCAGGAGATGAGATCAAAGAGGTAAGCAGAGGCCAGATCACACAGGAATTTGTAGGCTGTTGGCCTTTACTCTGAGTGGAACAAGGAGCCACCAGAAAGTTCTAACAGAGAAATACGACATACCTGACTTTTACATTCAAGGGAATGGCTCTAGCTGCTACAAAGACGACAGAACACTCTAGGGAGACAAGGGTGGAGGCAGGGAAACAAAGAGCTGCATCTCCCAGGAAAAGGGCTGGCGGGAGCCTAGCTGCATGGGGGGTGGGGGGGGGTGCAAAGTGGTCAGACTCTGGATACATTCTGAAGATGAGCTGACAAGATGCTCTTGCTGACTGGCTGGGGTGAGAGAGAGGCGCCAAGGAGGACCCCACAGCAGCTGCAATGACCCCGTCTACTGAATGGCAGAAGGCTGAGGGAAGAGCAAGTTTGGTCTGTTTTTGCGCGTGGAGGAAAAGCAAGACTTTCTTTTGGATGTGCTAAAGTCTGAGGTACCCAACAGCTATCCAAGTAAAGATGTTAAGTAGTTAGTTACATACAACTCGAGTTCAACAAAGAGGCTGAGCCCAGAAATATACGGGTCCTCAGACCAGAAATGGTATTTGGAGCATGGAACTGGACGAGGTCACCTGGAGAGAGAATGCAGACAAAAGAGAGGCTGGAAGACTGTCCCCCAGGTGACTCCAGTACTTAAGAGGCTGGAGGAATGGCAGTGAGCTATCTGGAGAGCAAAGAGTGCTGGCTCTCTGGCTAAGTAAAGAAAGTTTCAAGGAGGGAGCGATCAGCTGTGTCCAGAACTGCTGATGGGCTGAGTAAGATGAGGACTGAGAACTGAACATTCCATTTACCGAGGTGGAGCCATGGTGATCGTGACAACAGTTTCAGTGGAGCAGTGGGGACAAATGCCTAAAGGAGTTCCAAAGAGAATGCAGTTGCAAAGAGAATGCAGTTGCTTTTTTTTCCTTCCCAATGGAGTCGTGGCTGGAAGAGAACATAGGGAGAGCAGGAGACACTAAGACAGGAGTTGGTAGAGCAACATTTAACGCTGACAGGAAAAGGTCACAATGCCACTTTCTCTACAGTACCACCTTAGTCTCTGTGGAATTAGTTCCCTTTTACTGTACACCCTTCGAGAGTTAAAAAAGGCTCTGTAGGGGAGGCGGAGCAACTGTGACTTCTCCTGGTTCTGTTAACTGGCTCTTCCCCCATTTACCGGATAAATATTTACTATATACCACTACTAGACAAACAAGACTGTCAAGATCCTTATCCTTATAGGATGTCACTCTAGTAAGAGCTGCATACAAGCAAGCAGGCAACGCTACTATCATAAATGATGACGCTTGTGAAGTACATGCTACAGATGCACACACAGGAACATCTGATGTGGCTTAGTTAATTGCGGAAGGCTCCTTAGAGGACAGAGCAGGCTAAACCTGAAGATCAAGGACAGATAAGGAAAATTAACAGGGGGAATCAAAACATGTAGCACACTGTGAATTAGTGTGGACTTACCTGGGGGTAACGGGGACCCATAAGGTAGTTTAAAGCAGGAGAGTCCATTTGGGAAACGTGGCTGTGATGTGGGTTAGGGATTGGGAAGAGGACATCACCAGAGGCAGAGAACCAATACTGATGCAGTGGTATCAGGAGAGAGAGGACGGCTGCCTACACTAAGAGGTGGAAATGGAAAGAAGCAGTAGAGGCAGACGAAGTGGCCAGACTATCAAGACAGAAGAGGCCTGTTACAGTTCTGGATACAGCGGAGAGGGAGGGGCTAACACGTCCCAAGCTCTACAAATGCAAGGCATTAATATGTACGAAGTCGATTATTCAGTCCTAGCCATCTTGCTGTTTCCTAGGAATATTAGTCTCACTTTTACCCATTTACTGCTACATTTACTAGCAATGAGGTTTCTGCCTTTAAATAGAAACCAGCTTTCTCTCTCCCAGACAAATTTCATAAATTCCGTAAGTTTTCCACAAACTGGGAAACCAGTCATTTGATGATGGTAATATATTTCAAATCACCCACTAACTCCTTGTTCAAATACATTTTCAACAAAGACCCAGCATGTTGCTAAAAAAAAGGTGAAATGAGACAAGAGAAAATGAAAATAACATCTAAGGCTCAGAAACTTCTTTAGAGTGTTCATTTTTAGCCAAAATCCGTGGCTTCTATTAATGGAAAAAAAAAATTTTTTTTCCTTCCCTGTGACTGATAAACAATTCCAGATTAAAAACCGTCCGAAGAAACAGGACCTAAGACACGCATAGCTCTACTGGCCGGCAAGGCCCACGCTGGGCATGGGCACGCTTGACCAGGGCTTGCGTTTTAAACCTAAAGGACGGTCTGGGGAACACAAGGGAGGATGAGGACTGTCTGATCGGGATCCAGAACACTCAGGAGAAGCCAACACCACACTGCACTACAATCAGCTAATCCACAAACAGGTAAACACTAAGCATCTTTTCTCCGGAGACCTGATGCTGTATCAGGAAAAAATAAATTGAATTTTTGAAGGTTAGAGGTGTTGTTGGATTTCTTTTTTAATTTTGTAATGAAAGGTCGTGAGGTTCTCGAGCATTTTTGTTGCTGTTGTTCCAACAAATGTCTTAGCAAATCTGCTACTGGCAGGCAGAACTTAGTTTCATAAGGCTCTGGGAAGTAAACTTGTCTGTTCTTACAATGCCACAGGAAATTATAAGCCTTTACAAATGTCATCACCACAAACAGTGCTAATAAAACGGCTTAAAAGGCATCCAAAATATTTTGTTGGTTTTTTTTCTCTACAAATGTTTCTTCAAAGAGTCACAAGCCAATATTTTGAAATTCGCCTGTTTGGGTCACTATGAACAACTCTTGAGCAAGTTCCGGTCTCTGCATAAACTGGCCACGTAGCAAATTAAGACACAGCTCCCTCCTTGCTAACAGCAACAGTCTCAAAATGGAGGCTCAACTGCAATGAGCACTGAGCAATCTGCCTTTCCGGTTAACTTTAAATCCGCTCCTCTCTGAATTCCCATGTCATAGAGGGCCTAGAACATTGATCCTCAGAAGGTACCATAAAGAAAAAGTTTTGTGGGGAGAAACACAAAGAGATAAAATAGGAATTTAAAGCCTAACAAAAAACAGAAACACTTTTCATTCTGCGTATTTTTCATTCTGATATATAAAATCAACAGTGTTTGATATTCTAAGTAATTTTTTAACCGAAGTGCAAAACATACCTGAAGCGTATAAATCATAAGTAAAGAGCAAGATAAAATGTTTACAAGGTAAAATACACCGACGTGCCCACCCCACAGATCAGTGGTAGGCTAGTGCTACACCCCAGAAGCCAACTCAGCCCCTGCCAGTCTGACTTCTGTCAACATAGATTTGTTTTGATGGTTTTGAACTTTATAAATTATTTATAAACGCACATATAGAACGTTTCATTTTATTTTACCCAGGGAATACTTTCATTTTTAACAAGGAAGGTCTTTAATAATTCTTTGAAGGGGAGGTTGGATGTGGAAGGCTCAGTTCATCTCAGTAAACGTAGGCGACCTTTTGGCCGTTTAACCCTTTGGAGTTCTTGGAGGATTCTCAGAAGGGCACTCCAAGGACATAAAAAGTTAAAGTAACTGGTGATACATACCCGAATCCTACAAGCCCAATACCCAAGCTTACCTTCCGCAGAATCTCTCATATTTGCAGAAGTGGAATCTGGCTCACTTGTCTTCAGCTGTATGTCTTCAGTTTTGTTTCCTTTGTTTTTATTTTCCTGGGGTTTTTTCTTCCCTGAAACACAGTATGTATGTACGTACGTATGTATGTATGTATTTAGTCATTCATTCACTCACTTACTCACTCACTATTATCCTGAATTCTTGAAGGAGACAATTACTGATCCAACCACAGCAAACTGTCTATTTCTAGGCAACTATCACTTTAGATTCCTAAAGAAAGGAATAGATGATTAATATGAGTACTTTTAAATCATGTCAGAGAAAAAAAAGAAATCCATAAATCCTGTATTTCTATGGGTATTAGTTCCCTCATAGCTAAAGTTATTAAACTGATAGATAATATATTCTAGAAAAGTTAACGATGTTGACGTCAAAGGAAAATTAGATAACAGCACTGAGTTTCAACACCACACATAACAGAGACTGGCAAACGTCTGGTTATTTATAAGAAGCACAGTAGCGAAAAACAATATGGTATAACTCGAAGCCCTTTTAGTTAAGATATAAATCCATAATTATCAAAGTAAAATAGCAGAAGCAGAGATTCCACTGAATTCAAGGGGTACACATGCACAATGGCTCAAATATCAAATGCAGGTAATTATGAATAATTCACTGTCAGCCGGCACAGCACTCTGAGGGTCCTAAGGGACTCGACTCGAGGTCCAGAGACTTCAATATCTCATTAACAATCGGAGGATGGAATTCAGGAAACACTAGCCGCATTCCAAGTGACAGCATGCTCCAGAAGATAAGATGACAACGCAGCCCGTTTCTGACAAGCTGGAGCAAAGGCTCGGTAAGGACAAACGATTCTCCACCGAAGTTACTGCTGAACGTGTAGCTCAGTCTCTTTGGAATTTAACCAGAGTTCGTGACTCTTCTTTGCCATGTTTTAAATTCTAAGTTTCCTCTGCATGGCACCTTTTGTTTTTCGGTTTTCTGATTCGGAATGGGTTCCCAGTCAAGTTCCCCCAACAATTCCCTTCTCTTTCTGCAACGCTCTCCTCAACCAGGCCTCAGCAACCAGGCCTTGAACAGCTCCCGGGGCGGGGCTGTCCTTCCTCTTTCTGAGCAAGGCTCTTGCCACCTTTAGCTCTGAAGTAGTAAAACGACACACTAGAAACCACTCGCAGCTTCTGGAAAACGGTATTCTCCCCAACAGAGAATCACTACAGAGCAGCATAATTAACTAAAATATAAGTAACAGATGAAAACTGAGGCCAGAGATCTAAAATATCAACACCGTAAAAATCATAATTAAAAACAGAAACATCAATCACAATACAAAGCAAATATTAATCCCCCAAAACACCAGATTTTAATATTCAAGAGCTGCAACAAGAAAAAAAAGTTTAAAATACTTAATAATTAGCTATTTAATGTTAGTCTTAAAAAGCAATTCTAATATATCATTTTAAATCCCTAAATCTTTAGCCTGTAAGAAATCAGAAGCTTTCCGCAACTACGTAAGAATTCACTCGAGATAAATCTCTGATAACACGTCGATCCGTGCATTTCCAAAAGCAGCTAAAATGGAACTCAAGACACAACCTGACTTCACTGGAACCACATCCTGGTGGGAACAGAGCCAAGTCTTCATTGTATGGTCGATCCAGGTGTGAGGATTATAAAAACCTGTCCCCTCTGAAAGGGGCAAGGCCATGAAAACACATCACACTGCAAGAAGTCACCTCCTCTTTGAGGTCTTTCTCCCTCTGTCAACAGCACTCAGCCTAAATCTGACGATGACAAAAGCTCCTGAGGAATCCAGTTGTGCTTAAGGGAACCTGGATTCTTATCCTTTCAACCAGTCTTCTTATCCTCACTGTGACACATGCCCTCCCGGTGTGTGGTCCCCGTCCATATCAGATTACCAGGAGCAAACGATGCAAACGCCAGTGACTGGCGACTCAGGTAATCGCTCCAGTTTTAAGTCCGTGTCTCAGGAGACCCCTGTGAAAGGCTCCTGCCGCCCTCAGAGCCTGACTCAAAAGTTACACTCAGAAAAGCTTTTCCCTGGATCAAAACATGTTATAAAACATCAGCACCACCTCACGTGCCCCTAACAGGCCAAGGAGTATGACCCTTTCTTATCGACCTCTTAATAGGTATGAGCTTTCAAAAATCACAAACATGGAGGTGCGGTCCAAACCTTGCCTCTTATACATAAACCTTACAATTTTAAAATTCACACAATAAAATGTAATAGAAATAAATATCGAAGCAATCCCTTGCAAAAGCATTTCAAAGATTTTCCGTAACCTCTCAAGTTGGTCTATATGTAAAATAGAATATTAAGTGAGATTTCTAGATTTATAATAAAGTGAAGGACAACTTTAACAATACCACTCAGAATGATATCACGTAACCATCTAAAAGGTAAGAGTGCTATCTGAAGTTTACTCCCGGCCTAGGAGTACTAGAACACCTAGCTGATACTGAATGTCAAATGCCTATTTTTGGACTCACCCTACTTAACCAGTAAGAAGTGCCCATCCCACCCCCACCCCCACCGCAGGGTGCTCTCTTTCAAAACCACAACCAGGAAACCTTGATGCCCTGTGCAGAGAAGCCACTTGCTGTAGGGACATGTGCGTCCTATTCAGAGAGCTAACGAGAGTACCCCACCACAGGCTGCTACAGGCCGGATACCAGGACGTCTCAATCGCAGCACAAGTGACATAGAGGCCAGATCACGCTCTGTCGTGGAGCAGTCCCAGGTACCAAAGGTGTTCAGAAGCATCCCTGACCCCACCCACTAGATGCCAGTGGCACCGCCGTCCTTCAACTTGTGACAAGCAAAAGTCTCCAGATATGGCCAAATGTCTAGCTGGGGTGGAGGGTGAGGGCTCCCCAGATTAGGAACCACTGGGCTAGGCCAATATAATACGGCTCACTAAAGACATATGGGGCTCTGCAGTCTTTACGTTTACGTGAAAATTTAAAAGTACCTGAAAACACTAGTAAACCAAGTTCTAAAAACTAAAAAAATGAAATGATAAAATTTACCTCCGCAGTACCTTTTGAACAATGATACTTAGTTTATGATTGAAATGCGTCTAATATGAATATCGTGGAACTGAGATTATATGATACATGGAATAGTTTTCTCAGAACCATCTACCACTCAAGCAATTTCCCACTTGGACCACAGACTAGAGGTAAAGGAGTTACTGAAATCACCCGTCCTACTTGTTATTTTGCAAGAGAAACGGAAGATCAGAGACCTGCAGAGACTACTCAGTCTATGACTGGACAGAAATTAGAACCTGGGTGTCCTGACTCACACTTACATATGCTTGGTGTCACTCACAAAGCCAAATACTACAATAACAGATGGTGGAACTTGCTACGTTCCCTTAAATCGGTGTATTTTTTTTTCCTGATACTTGGGTTTCTCTTCTATATGTAATCATATTAAAAGGAAAAAAAAAAAAAAACCTATAATCTAAAATAACCTGAATGATTTTTGCAAAGGGAAGAGGGGACTCGTTAGTTTCTGTCTGTGAGGCAGGAGGTGCCTCGAGAGCTGGTCCCGCAGAGCCCGCTGGGAGCCTGGTAAGCACACGTGTGCACTTACCATCAGGTTCCTGAAGGGTCCTACACAGAGGCTACTGCCAGCTGCGTGCTCCACTTGCTCTAAACAAGAAAGATACAGGAATGAAACACAAGGAAAGTGAAATGGAAACAATGACAAAGGACATAATGAAGGACAGGACAAAACTGTATGCATATAAGGAAAAGAAATACACACATAAGATGAAGAAACTGAATGAAACAGAAGGAAAACAGTAGTTATCCACTGCAATAAGGTTCTTGCCCCCAAAAAATAAAAAATAAAAAATAAAAAAATGCATCTTTGTGTTAACTGGGGATAGGATGTGGTATACTTACTCTCAGACCTGTGCCATGCCCATGTTGTAAACCTGATGTTCTTACCACTTAAGTGCCACTCTACTAGAGAATCCGAAAGTCCCATCCATGCCTCTCATTTTACAGAGTCACCAAGGACCACAGATGTGAAGTCAGCTGCCTGAGGTCACGCAACTAAATTAGCTTTGGGGTCAGAATTAAACTCTGAGGATGATGATGCTGTGAGTGCTCTTTCTACATTTATTTCTTAAGACCAATAATGGCATAGTAAGAATATCTTCTTCTTTATAAAGAACTTTATAGCCACTGTCACTCAGTTTCAAAGGCAAATGGAAGTGGCGCAGACTCCCACTCCATTTATAGAAAGGAAACAATCAAACTGAAATGCAGGGGGGTTTTTCTATTTCAATTTTACCTTATGCCAGAAACAAGTATCAGTCAACAGGACAGAACCCCAATCTGAGCAAATATGATTCACCATGAAATATTAATAAAACCGGATTTCCTAGGGAAATAGCTACCATACAAAGACATCCGACAGCAGCAATGCCCACTTTTTAAAGACAATGGGTAGCATCATACTTCTGGTGCCTGGGATTTGAGGTACAAAACCGAAATTGCCCAAAGCATCCCATGAGTAAGCTCTGGACAGTGTTCTCTTCAAGTAAGGGGGACTAACACTAGAAAATTCTCGAGAATAATGTTTCATTTAAAAATGTTCACACATCAGAGAGAATGCAAAATTCTAGAAGCCTTGCTCAAGTCACATAAAAAATTCATCACAGCAGTGAAGGCTCATGCGTTTGGCGATTTAAATGAATTAAAGTGAGAAGCACAAGCAACTCTTCTGCCTCCTCACTGGGGAGCTGCCAACTGTGAAGTATAAAAATGGAATTCAGTACCGGCGCGCAGCAGCAGGTCCATCTGATCTTTGGGGAGCTCACCATCTCACTCAGACACACAGCTGATTCCAAACCAGGTGAGTCCCCCATCTGTGAGGGCTGCCAAGACCGTACCATGGAAGATCATGGACGACAGACACGGTCTGTCCTGAACGGGTCAGAGGCCAACTCCCCAAGGACAGGCGCGCCTAGGCCCGCAGCTCCTCAGCTCTCCGTCCAGCCCTTGATCCTGGCACCTAGACTTTCACCCTCTCCACTGTCCTGCAGCTCCACG